GGTGGGCACTGTCCAGTAAAGTTTCATGTAGTTTTGTTCAGCATCTTTGGATTATCTTGAGATATATTTTTGGGATATTATGAAGTGTTTAGATAGTTGTATGTTTTTTCAAAGTTGTTGCTAAGGGGTAGGGTATTTGTTATGATAATATTTTTATTTGCTTTACTTGGGATACTTGTATTTGTGTTTATGTGATCAGGGATGATGGTGTTGTTTAAGATATTATTATTGTTCTTTGATACATTGTTACTTGGAGAGTTATCATTTTCTTGTTCAGTAATTGTGCTACTTGTGTTACTTATATTATTGATATGTAGGGGAAGTTGTCTTGTATTGCTTGGAAGAATGTTCGTGATGGTTGATATGAGTGTGTTCATAGTTCTGTCCATATTTCCCATTGATTGGTGGAGTTGTTGTTGTTATTATTAGATGTCTTGTATATTTGAGGGTTCAGCTACTAGTGTTTCAGTATTAGTGTCAATGTTTGTGTTGTCCTCTTCCATACCTTCTGCATCTGCATAGCAGTATTGTTTAAGATTATCAATTCTTTCGTCAAGATTTTTCAATTATTTTTTGATAGAAGTAAGTTCTTCATGAATTGCGTTAAAAACTGTGAGAACATCATCTATTATATTCAGATTGTGTTCATTTTCTGAGATATTGTGAGAACTTCTGGTGGCTGCAACATATAATCCTGTTTTGGAGAGTTTAGTGCTTCTTGAAGGTTGTGTTAGTCTGCAGATATGTATGGATTTGGCTGGTTTGAATCGATTATATAGTTTTCCAAATTTTTGGGCTTGTTCATGGTTGTACTTGTTCCACTGTTCTCTTCATTCTTTGATTGTGCAGCTGACTACAAGGTGATTGGGATTGTCATATATAGTGCAGAGCTTAATGTTAATGGGTTTGTATGTCAGGATTGTTTCTCTGAAACAGAAAGTCTCATTTAGTGCTTGTTGAAGGAGTTTTTTATTGTCAAAACTAAGGACTGCATTTTCCCTTGATTTGTAAATATTAATCAGGGTATGTAGCAGGTTTTGGATTATAACTTTTGGCAGATATGTTGAGGTCAAATGCACAGGTCCCAGGTGGGAGGTTAGTTAATTTTACAGACAGGGTTCTCCTATTCTTTATTCTGGTAGGTTCCTGGTTATATCAAAAATTCTTATTGAGTCTGTTTTGATGAGGGTGCTCCAAGATTCTAGTGCTTTGCATTTATCTTCCAGGTTGAAGAATATGATCATAGCTAACTGTCACATTTGTTGTATTGTCATCTTGATAATAATTATCTGTCCGAACTTGATGAATGTTTGTTACATATCAATAAACTTTGTATTTAGAGAGATGTTTCACACCCTGATTCTCATTTTCTTATTGAATTTACTAATTATTTTGGGAAATAGTATGAGTTTGGTGTTGCTTGTTTCAGTAAGGCTTATATTGTCAGCTGTTTCTGCAGAATGATAGTCTTCAAAAATAGTAATGATATGATTGATTTCCTCTATTCTTTTGTTTTGGATTGTGGTTAGTCCTTTGGGAGAGTTAAGTGCCTTGGTGAGGAAAGTGATTTTCTTTCATATAGAGTCTCCTGATAGAGAGTCTGCTTTGATTCTGAGTTTAATTCTCTCTCTGCCATATCTGATATTTTTATCGAATAGTGAGCAGGGTCTCGGTCTACTCCCTTGTCTTGATTCTTTTTTTGTTTATTTTTTCTGAATTTGTAATCTTGTTTCTCTTGAAAAGAAGTGTTATTATCAAAGTCCATCTCAATATCTGAGTTATCAATTCTTACTGGTCTGAGGTTGTTGGTTGCTATTTCTTTACCCTTTGCCATGGGGTTTTCACCTATTTTGCGATGTGATTTGCCTGTGTTGTGGTATACCTTGTTTTGTATATTTTGCTCCTCTTTCATCTGTTTGCTTCAGGTGTATTGAATTCTTGTCATACTGGTATCTTCTATTAGTCCAGTATTTATATGATTGACTTGAGTTATTGTTTGTATAGTGCGGGAAATAAAAGGATAGTTTGTTTTTGCGAAGCTATTTACAGTATATGTTTCTTTGCTGATAGGGCTGACCTTGCCCCTAGTGAGCTTGTCGATATTGTAGTTGGCCTGTTGATTAAGTATTGTTGTCTTTTAGATCTCTCCATTTTTCAACTGTTTCTTATGTTTTTGTGATTTATACTACTGCGCTATAGGAAAATAAGAAAGAGAAGAATTAAAGTATCTAATTGAGACTTAGTTTTATTAATTTAGTAAACATTATATATTTTTAAGTAATATGGTTTTTCAATAAAATAATATATAATTATTATACAAAAATTTATAATTTATTAAAAAAAATTTTTTAACTCTTTTCACTGATCCATTTTTTTTTAAAAAATTTCTTTTTTTAATAATTTTCATGAAAAAGAGAAGTTAGTTAAAAAAACATTTTATTTTTTCGAAATATAAAACTTAATAATAAACTATAATATTTAGTTATTTCCAAAAGATTTCTTTTTCAATTAAAAGAAGTATAGGTAATATAGCATTATTTTAACTTTACTTTATAAGGAAAGAAATATATGTACAAACTGATTTACAGTAAGTTTAAAGATTCCAATATTAATTTTTCAAGCTTCTAGTTAGGTCAATGTCAGTTTACACCTTTTTAAGCACTAGAAAAAACTTCATAAACAGTGATTTTTATTGATAAATAAAAAAAAACTCAAAATTTATAAAGATCAAAAAAATATTAAAGACTTTTAAGAACTAAACAGTAGAGTATCTTAATTCTATATACACCTGATTAAACAACAAAACGAGTTATACAAATATACAGTATATGTATTAATTAGTATAGTATCAAGATAATAGTTTTATTTAGTTAAAATATATGTAATTGTATTATAGTTTATATGCTATTAACAACTCTTTCTGCCAATTCTCTAATCACATATAAAAAAGATATTTGCAAGAAGTTTAATACTTCTTTGCTAATATAATTTTACTACTTTCTTTAAACTAACTTGAACAAAAAACTTTAAAAGTCATTTCTATCTCCTTCACTTTTGTTATTACTCCTTTTTGAACAAAAACTTAATTGCTAGTAATAAAAAAATAAAGTAAAATTCTTCTTATCAATGGCAAGAAAGTTCCAAAAGAAAGAAAAACTAATGTACAGTTGTCTTACACTATAGAGAAACAATATAGAGTATTGTTTGTGACAAGAGACAAGTTTTTTACCCTCTCTATCATTTGATCACTCTAATAGTACTTGTTTTGGGACTTTTCTAGGAAATTTTGCCTATTTCAGTTTGATCCTAAATCTTGAGTAGTATGAAGTTTCTTACACCATAATTGAACAAAAATTTCACATAAGTAAATGAAATAAACAAGTTCCTATTGATCATCTTACATGTTTAATGCATTTCTTCAATATCTATAAGCACTTAAGATCTATCATAAGTTATTTAGATCTGATATGAATAGATACAGGACATGAAAACTCCTATGTCATTGAGAATATGGAAAGAATAGAAGCTAGGTCAGGACATATTAGATAGACAATATTCTTTTCTCTTTTTTCTTTCTCATCTAGCAACACACTATAAGAACATCAGGATTAGTATCTTTTTGGAAGGTTTTGATATACTTATTCATTTTTTGAAACTATCCTTTCTGCATAATTACAATACCAAGTCTAGTTGAACAAGATTCAAATATATTTTCTATAAAAATTTTTAAGTATTAGTGGAGTTAAAGTTCCATATAAGAAATTTTTAATATTAGTTATGCTAGGTAATTTAGGTAAATTCTTGTATATTAGTCTTTTTTATGGGGTAGCAATAAGTCATCCAGTGAACTTAGGCCCTAGGGAATGTCCTAGTATAGTAAAAAAATTTAATATAGTATGAATTGTCATATTTCTCTATTATTTCAAAGTTTTGTTTTTGTAAGTAGAAATTTTATATTAGACAGTCATGTAATTATCTTATCCTGGTTGGGTGAGACATAAATAGTTAGTTCTTTATACTATTCATTGATTTATAAATCCTTAGATAGTATGGGCAATTATTTATCCTGATTGTCTTTAGACTTTCTCCTTACCTAGATAAAGCCCCATTGCTATGACGCAAGGATGAACTAGTGTTTTAAAAAAAAATAGTTTATATTCTATTTTATAATATAAATAATTGAATATATTACTGGAATACTAGGTTCAAAAATGTGTTATTGAAATTTATATTTGATACAGTTTTATTAGTTATTAGTTTTTTAATATTGACAGGTAGCTAGAAGTTTAAACAGTTTTAGCCACAATATGTTATTGTTTATATCTATTTAGTATAGTTGAATAGTTGATGCTTGGCCAGGATTAAATTAGTCCTTTATAAAGCACTTGTTATTTAATACTTTCAATATGAAATTATTATAGTTAATTTTTTCATCAAAATTTAAATCTAATAAAATTAAAACAATATATGTTAAAAAATGCGTATATGCTACTTTATTTTTGGATATTTCAAAATACAGTATGTGTCTAAGTTTCTATTTCATTAATCATTTATTAAATAGTGAGCAAACAAAAAAAAAAAAGAAAAGAAAAGAAAAAAGAAAGAAAAGAAAAGAAAAAGAGGTCAAATATTTAATAAATTAGATAAGAGTAATTGATTGATATTTTATGTTGAAAAAAATTTTCATTCAATTACATGTATGTATATACTGCAAATACAGTATCACTATATACTTGATTATATGATGCTGTGTATTGCATGTAACAATAATATAATACTTTATTGAAAGAGTTATTGGAAAATACTTAAGCAATGAATAAGTGTTAGTTTATACTTGAACGGTCTCCACGGAAAGTCATGTCCGATTTTCTTATGAAAGTCATGATAAGAATCGGGCATGAACTTCCGTGGTGAGTGCACTGCACACATGTTAACCATTATTAATAAGAATTAACACTATAAGTGGGTGCAAAGAGTATGATTGGTATTTGTGATGAGAATTAGCCTTTAAAAAGTACTCCTATATCTGATTTAGAGTAATCTCCGAGAATGTTAAATTTGGCTAATATTCGTTTTAAAAGAATATGTATTAGGTTTTAATGGGTTAATAAATTTAAAGAAATTGATTTTTAAAATTTAAAATTATGCTTACTCAGCCAGGAAATAAAATCACGCTCTTGAACGCTATTCCAAATATCATCTGGTTAACGAATTCGATGCAATCAGCGGAGATCGGCAAATGTAAAAAGAAAAAAGATCATAAAATTACCACTATTAGACGCGTCATCATCGTTATCGCCCCCGAGTTCATCAAAGTAATCGATGTTCTTTTTTTCTCTATTCCCAATGTCAACTACAAATCCAATATAACTCAGTTGATTACAATATGCAGTATGCTCCAACAAAGAAAGCTCACCTTCAAAGTCTCCTAAACTTGATTGCGACTCCTCTGCGTCTGTTGAACGTGAGTCTGCTGATTTCGAGTCTGCTGATTTCGAGTCTGCTGAATGTGAGTCTGCTGAATGTGAGTCTGCCGAACTTGAGTCAAAAGAGTTCAATGAATCAAAGGTGTCATTAAAATCTAAAAAGTTATATTAGATCGTCAACATTTATTTACTGTACATTGATCAAATTTTTATATTTATTATAGATACCTTCTGTTGATTCACGGGCTTTCTGTTCGTAATAACTTTTCAAACTTTTGGTGATACCACTAAGATTTCGACTTGTACACTTGGAATCTCCGTTAATGACAATATCATCGTCTGGAACTGTAGAATTATCTACAAACTGTTTTGCAATTTCCGATGACAGATCCTCCATTTCTGAAAGCCATCTCTTAACTTTATCATATATTTCCTCGGAAGTGGGTCGTGCATCCTTATCACCACTCCAACATCTCTGCATCAATTCTGCATATACCGGCGGCGTGTTCCTAACAATTTCTGGGCGCACGCCTTCGCATATGTCGATTCCAAGCTCAACATCACATTTGCGATCGGAAAATGGCACTTTTCCGGAGGTGAGCAACCACATAATCATCCCAATGCTATAAACATCTGCTGCTTGTGTATAAGGTTTGTAGCATAAAAGTTCTGGCGCAATATAATTTATAACTCCGTAAATTTCGTCGGATGGTTTTTCATTGACTGGTCTGCATAAACCCAAGTCAGCTACTGCAAGCAATTTCTGATAATGGAAAAGGTTTCCTGGATGGAGATCATGGTGTACTCGTCCCTTACTATGGATGTCAACTATTCCATAGGTCATGTGTCGGAGGATATCCAACTTGTTTTTCCATTTCAGCTTCGTCCACCTTTTTTTCAAGTAATCCAACAAATTGCCTCCGTGAGCATAAGGCAATATCATGATATAGTCTTTGGTCTCAGGATCTCTAGAAATACCGTAGCAGTGAAGAACTCTGCTAGATAAAATTTTCATATATGCGGTAATCTATGATCTAGTTAGCTGGTATCTTAAACGAATTGGTTGGTTAATCATCAATACGTATTACTTACTTCTTTAAAAAAATTGGTGTCTATGCGTTGCTGTGAACCGGCTAGATACTTCAGAACTACGGGTGTGTTTGGGTGTCGGACTCTTTTTCCAAGAGCATAATCCCAAATGCCCAGTCCATTAACCCACGTTGCCGAATAAACAGTTGCGAATCCACCTTTTCCAATAAATTGGATATTTGTAAACTGTTCATAGGGAATCCATTCGGCATAGCAATTCGGGTGATTGATAGAAGTTTGCGTTTCGCGTATAAACTTGTCAATGATATCCTCACCACTGGTCCATTTCGAAAACTGCCCTCTAAATCGGTTACGATCACACGACTTGCACCATTTTATATAAACGTATGGTTTTCCGCATAGATCGCAGTTTTGTACTTGTTCTCCATAAGCTGGAGCCCTCCCCAATCTTATCCTATTAAATTGTACTTCAGTCGCATCGAGCAACTCGCGACATGCGGTGATCTTCTTCCTATTTGCGTTGATATCTTCCCGGTATTTCTCTAATCGGTCATTGATACTGTTGAGAATATTAACCGTTTGCGCTCGTATGACTCTGTTGGCAGTTGATTCCAAATTATCGTCGTTTTTCTCGGCCAATGAATTAAATTTGACGAGCAAATTTTTAGCGAGTTTTATAACGTTGCCTGTTTTCGTGACAGAATTTCTCAGCGAACGATTGGATTCATCGCACATTTCTAAACATTCCTGCATTTTTTCGTGGCATTTTTTGCGCCCGGAAACAAATTGACGTCCGATGAAATATCTTTCTCGGTAAGTGATATCAAATCCTTGACACTCGGGAGAAGTTTCAGTGGGGTATAACTCAGTTATTCCCTTCGAATAATAGTTTACGGATTCGGCCGAAAGATCCCTTTCCAACCACCGTTTTATTTCAATGTTGGCACCATCGATCTCCTCCTGTACCTCGTTTGCTTCCTCGTTAAGTAAGCGAAGTAGTTCCGAGAATTTATTAAATTTCCCTGAAGAATCTTTGCATATGCCAGCAGAGGAAAACAATAACGGAAATTCGCCGATGCATATATTAGATATTTCCATGGTGAATGATTAATGGTAAGCTGATACTTAATGCCTATTTATTGAAAAAAATACGCAGAAGGGTTCTTCAGGGATGCTGCGCCATTAAATACACAATGATTTCTCTTTCATCATATCCATAAATGTATAAACAAACCTCTTAAATGAAAGCATTAGTTTTAATGTCCTGATCAAATATTATATATTAAACAGTTTATAGTATATCGGTGCTGATGAAACAAGGAAGATTTGATTTGTTCTTTGTCAACGTTCATTGAGTTTATTTGATTTCCGAATGACAAATTGCACATGGTTTTACCACGACCATTATGAACCCTTTTACAGTAACGTAACGTTCGACGATGCCATACGAGTCACCCCACTCCTTATGTGACGCAGTAAATACGTACGGTGAAATGTCCCTTGACGGTGTACATAATTGGAAATGGACACACTGAGGATTTTTATTTAAAAATTAATGCTACAAGTTGTCCTATTGCACAATCAAAAAATATGCAACACATCTCCCTTGGTGTCGAAACAGCTTCAAATGTATTGTCCGTCACCGAAAAATTTGTAGGTGGAGTCACCAACGTAGTCGATGTGATAGGGGCATTTGTCCCCCTCGTAAGCAATATTACCAATGCTATCCGTGAAATTCAAGATATATGCGAATCAATCGAATACAACAAGAGAATGTGTGGGACTTTGCTAGAACGTGCCTTATTCGCCGAAGCTGCCACGAAAGCTCTAATGATCAGGACCGACTATTATGAGAAAAAATTGAGATCGAGAGAATTCTACGATGGATTTCGAAGATTTGCCGAGGTTATCGAGAAGATCAAGGAGTTCACGAAAACGGTATCTCGGCTCTCCGGTGAGCTATCTGAGAAATACGAGAGATCTGATGTTTGCTCTCATTATACTAAAGCCTTTACTCATATTCAAAATCGTCAGGGCTACGAAAGTTTTTTCAAGCATCGGATATTAAGTCGCGTTTTACGATATTGTTGGAAGAATTTGATGGACTCATGAACGTATTACAGTTTAGTATGGTCGCAAGATCATCCGACATAAGCTATATTATTCTTCAGGACTTGGAAGAACTTAAAAATGTAAGTTGGTTTGTTCAGTTTAAATGCGTGTCGCGTTTGTAAATGCTGTACCAATAAAATGCATTCCAAATTAGTATATGGAGCGAATAGAGGGTGGAATTACCAAGCGCGATACAAATGAAATCCTAATTAACCCAAACATCGAAGAAATTGAAGTTATGAATGTTGCGTGGAAAAATGGAACCTTGCCCACTAATTCCAGCCTATTTTCGTCTGTGATGATCAATCCAAACCTTATAACCGACAACTCGGTCAAACAAATAAGCAAGAAGATCGAGCAGGCGTTTTACAAAGACCAAGCATCTGGAACTGAACTCGTAGCATTAAGACGCCTGACTGATCCGGACTCAATAGATGAACAAGAGAGAGAAAAAATTATGAAAGAAATACTCATATTCAAACGACTGAAGGATTGTAAACACATCATCGAATTCTATGGACTTGTCGAAAGGGATACAGGCATTTACCTCGTCACGCAATGGGCCGATAATGGAAATCTCAAAAAATTTTATACAGAACATCATGCCATGACTCACTGGAGTGTAAAATCGAAAATTGCTGTTGATATTGCTCGTGCTTTGACTTTTCTTCACTCGGTATCAATTTACCATCATGACTTGAGATCCGAGAACATTCTTATAACCGATCGATACGCGGCCAAGCTTGCGAACTTCAGCAAAAGGTATACTTGTGACTGTGACTACTCGTTCGACAAACTTTTTCTCGCTGTTATGGCCTTAAATTCCATAAATAAAATTTCTACATTGTGTAGTCGTTGCTTCAGCGCAGAAACAACCTCGTTAGATCGAACATTAGAAAGAATGCGATACATGGCTCCTGAGAAAATAGAGAAGAAGACACAAAGATATAACCTTAAATGCGAAATTTTTAGGTAATATTATGCGGTTTTATACAGTATATGAAGGTACAGTGAAATTGCGTAATAATTGTGTTTATAGTTTTGGTAGGCTTCTTTGGGAAATTTCCGAATGTAAAACGCCACTTGAAGAACACAAAGACCTATCGATACTTAAAACTTTGGTATGCGATCCAAAAAACGCGCTTCAATTTAACCCCAATGTTCCGAAAGAATGGAAAGATATTGCCAACAAAGGTATCGTATTAATTTACCCCAATACTATGTACAGTACGTGTTCCGTTAATCGATCTTGTGATTTTTTGCAGCAATGCAATATAGCACAAATCTCCGTCCACCCCTCAGTGAAATTTTTAATGTCCTGTTTGACATCTCCGAAACATTTAAGTCTATGCCAACCCATTGCCAATCATGTCTTGCCCCAACTTGTGGCAATAAGAGTGATCAACATACTTCCAATTTGAACACAAAGGTGCCTAATCATATTTCTAATCCTGACATCGGCACCCAGAACTTATTGAGCGTTCGCGACGCGCTTATGGAACACAAAAAACCAAGTGGCAATAAAAAAGCTGCATTTGAAGCATTTAAGGTACATGCCGAGCGCGGGGATATTAAAGCCAAGTACTGGTATGCCTATTATCTTAATAAAGGAGATGTGCCAGATTCCGAGATCTTGAGAGAAAAAGAACGACTTCAGAAAGCCGTTGCCCTTTTCAAAGAAACGGCTGATGAAGGATTTCCTGATGGACAATTTCGATATGGCTACTGCTTGTGGTACGGAAAAGGTGTCACTAAAAATGTTCGCGAGGCAATTAAATACTTTGAGATGTCCGCTGCAGCTGGAAACTCTACGGCGATGTATACGCTTGGAGATATATATTACAAGGGACTTGAAGTTAAAAAGGATAAAGAAAAGGGTGCAAAATATTTAAGACATGCCGCCTTGCTAAAACATGAGAAGGCACTGAAGATGTGTAGGAAGGAGCACATCCCATTGGCTTAGATTATATATTTGAATTTCAGCGTGCAGAATTTATATAATACGTAATTTTTTTGTTTTTCCTACCCGTCGACGGGCATTTTACACATGAACAATGATAGAATGAAATTGGTTTGAGACCAATTTTGAATCAATTACTATTTTAGAATATTCAAAATATACCTATTCACACACATTCATCATTCATATTTTATGCTTTGTACATTCGTTAATCCACGAACTGCTATTACTTTGCTTTGTTTTATTCTTTATGGTCCCTAATTTTGTAATCCCATAATATTACTTTTTTTTTGTCAAATCGGAATTTGATTGTTATTTTATAGAGGTCGATCAAAACTTCCCCCCATTTTTTAAAGAGATTGTAAAAAACTTGCTTGGAATTGAACTGATTTAATATAACATTTCCTCAATAGTTTTTTTTTTCTTTTTTGGGTCTTTTTGAGTTCAAGGATCATAAGTATTGTCTACTTTAAGAAATTTTTTAAAGCTTGACAAATACAGTATATGCGTTCACAAGAGTTTGAAACCAGTTACTATATTATTATAATGAAGTTCAACTTTAACAATCTCTAAATTCATAATTATACCTTCAAAAATTACAGAATAAAAGTTGTTTCTTGAGTCAAAATACATCATCTCTTCATTCCATTTTGAAGGCACAAAATCAAAATTAAAAAGTCAATATATTATTAATTTATTAATTTGTCTAATATAATTTCAACGTTTATTTTAAAGATATACTGTATTAATTTTAAAATGATGTTAAAAAGTCATAACAAGTATATTTTGGTTTCTGGAACAACTTTTATCAATTTCTTTTTTCTCTTTGTCAGCCTAGGCATCGTACTCTATTAAATATTTGTATAGCTAAAGCTAATATACAGTATATCCAAATCACTTAACTCTATTTTATATTTTATTTCTAAAACTCTAAATACAACTTCAGAATTGATTTATTACTTTGTTAATAGATAACTTAAATTTATTTATTATATACAGTACACCTCTAATATAAATCACTAGAAATCAACAATTTATAACAACTAAATGAAAAGGTAAAGATTATTTATTTCCTTTTTGTATTAGAAATGCAATTAACAATTTTACTTATAAAAACTAAAAAATTTTTATAGATTTCTTCAAATTAAAATATATGAGAAAATAAGTTGACAACTGAAAAAAGAAATCAAATAATTAACATCTATCCTATAAGTTCAACTAATTTGAAGATATCTATTAACTATACTAAAAATTTCACCTATAATTATACTGTATATAGCACTATTAATTATTATAAAAAAAAAAAAACATAACTCTTTCCACTAATCCTCTGACTACATACAAAAAAGATGTTTACAAGAAGTTTTAATACTTCTATGCTAATATAGTTTTACTACTTTCTTTAAACTAACTCAAAGAGTTCTCTTAGAACTCCCTTACCTCTCTTCTCTTTTGTTTACAATCTCCTTTGAACAAATTGGACTCTTGTAGCCTACAAAGTACTGTTTTTACCTTTATTATCTATAGCAAGAAAGTTTTTAAAGAGAAAAGGATTAAGGCTAAAATACCTCTCACCTTTCAGCTATGATAGAAATAACAGAGATTAAGTTCTAGTCAAAGGACTCACTCTTTTATCCTTTGACTGGTATCTGAGACCTCTTAGAGCTACTTTTTCATATCTTTCTAAGAAATTTTACTTATCCAGCTTGATCCTGAAATTTTGAGTAGCATAAATCTCATTAATTCTGATTGGCTGATATAAAACATGTTGAACAAGATAGATAAACAAGCTTCTATTGATTATTTCAGTGTTAAATGCATTTCCTCAACTCTATAAGAACCTGGGATCCACCATAAGTCATATGGTCTGGTGCAGGTGAATATAGGACATGCCACTAACATATTATTAAATATAAAATGAGTTCATCTAATCACGACAAAGGTTACAAGATGCTCAATTGACCTTTTTTCAAGTCAGAGCCACCTATATTCTGATTGAAAATCAGGTAGGTTCCAATCTCTATTGTTCAGAAAGCCTAAATTAAAAAAAGTATAGAGCTATCAAGAATACTCAATAGTAAAGCTTATATGCAAAGCAACCCAAAAAGTTTTTGTCCTATTTTCAAAAAATTTCAAGCTGAAAAACTGGAAGGCTAATGCCACTACACCAATCTAAACTCGAGTCTAAAAATATTAACAGTGATATGTGAGCTGACTAAATAATATAAAAGATTCTTATTAATTATTAATACCAACAGCCATCAGCAAGATATGTCTACTGCAAAGCTAGGTGCTATTTTTTTTATAAGGAATTAAATTTGAAATAAAATGTATAAATAGATAAGTATACTCATATTTAGATAGGAATAGATTTAATTAATGATATATTGAAAGACTTTCAATTTACTCATGTGAACATCAATATACTACCTAAATTTTTCTGGTTATTTTCTCACTACAAGCCTTAAAACTATAAAGTTTCCTTTGATGGCCTTTACCTTATTTCAGTATAAGTTTTTTTCCCAGATCTTTTTACAGAAAAACTAGAACAAGACAAATATATATTAAGAAACAGGACTGATATCTTCTCAGAAATGCACATGACTGTTCAATTTAATATTTTTTTTTTATTTATTTTTATTTTATAACATCAGTATACTCTAGGGAAGCTGATTTTTCTTTTATAAAAAAAAGAACAATAAGCCTTAATATAGCTTTAGAAATAGCTTTAGCTTATTATTATCTTTATCATCCCTGAATATATACCTATGTACCTGTACTTTGTGCAATACAATATATATATATAATTTGAAAAACAATAAAGTTAGGTATAAGCCTATTAAACAAAAAAAATTATACAAAAAAAAAAAGTTTTTTATATTACTAAAAAAGATTTGGCTAATCAAAATCTTTTTTTAAATGTGAATAACATTTTTTACAAATTATTATTTTAAAAAATAGATTTTTATCACTTGAAAAAATTATAAGAATGTTAAATCAAAATTTTAATACAACTTAGTATTTCAAAATTATTTGTACATATCTTTATAAACTTAGTTTAAAAGATTATACTATATATAAGAAATCTCTTTTAAATAACAAGCAATGTATTTTTCAATTAAAATAATATTAAATAAATATAGTTAGAATCAAAAATAAAAACAAGTTATCTGATATAATAAAAAAAAACTCTTTTTACTAACATATATAAAAAAAAATATTTGCAAGAAGTTCTTTTATTTCTTTGCTAAAAAAGTCTTAACACTTTTTTTAAAACTCCTTGAAGAGTAACTTCAAGAGCTGTTTCTATTCTCTTTATTTATTTATAATCCTCTTTGATCAAAAACTTGACTTATGGTAATCAAGAACAAATTAAGTAACACATTTTATATCTATAACAAAAAAGTTCCCAATGAAAAAAAAATCAATAATGAAGTATCTGAAAGTCTTTTCCACTTTTAAAGTGAGAGGTGTATAGAGATTTTTGATAGCAGAAGGACTTATTCTTTTTCTTTTCAATCAGTTGTTGGTCTCTTATAACTATTACTTTTATGTTATTCTGGAAAATTTTGTCTACCTCAGTTTAAATCTGAATTTTAAATAGTACAAATTCTCATTAAAGATAATTGGCTAACATGAAACATGTTAGTTTTAAAAAAAGTAAACAAGCTTCTAATGGTTATATTTATGTTTCTCTATTATATTATGGATGATATAGAAAAAAAATTCTAGAAAAAGTTTTCTTTCAACTATATATATTTGATCTCCAGAAAATAGTTAGAATATTGAAAGATAATATAAATTTACATAAAAAAATTCTATCCCTTTTTAAGTTCTTTAGGTAATAAAAAAACTTTGTAAAGTAGAAACTAAAATCTTTTAGTTTTCTTGAACTATTTCAATCTGTTGCATACTTAAATGAAAACTTATCTGATACCACAGATAGGGATAAAGAAAACTTTTTTCAAAGTTCAATTGAAGTAATGAAAAATATCTTAATTAGGCAAAATCCCTTTCGAGAAGAGGTTATAAAATGAAACAAGAATCTTTTGAAGAGCTTTAAGTTGTTTTTCATTTTACTCTTTCTAGTTCAACTTTAGCAATTCATCTATTTTCAGAATAATTAATAGTAACAAACTGTTAATAATTATTCTGATTGACTTAGAGACATTGTTTAAAGCTACTAGAAGAATATAATAATATTTCTTAAATCTGACTTAAAGTACTTAATTAAGACTTAGTTTTGAAAAATCTAAACTAGCTTAATAGACACCTCATATTTTTTAAATAGTTTAGTTCTTTAACTAATAATATACAAAAATAAGTTAGTCATTATATGAGAAGATCTATAGATTATTTTGGTATTTTTTTAAGTATCTTAATAAAGACAAGCTAATTTAATATAATTGTAAATTAAAAAAAAAAAAAAAGAAACAAGTTATCTAACTAAATAAATTAAAATTTGTTCTATTTAAATTAAACAATTAAATAAAAGTACAAAAAATAAATAAATAAAATTTATGAAAAATATTGTACTAAATATATTATTAAATTTAATAAAAAATCTATTATATTTTGAAGTTGTTTTAATTAATATATAGTATTAAATTATGACCTGTGAATCTATAGCACAGTGGTAGTACTCTCAGGTTGCAATCCCAAGATCCAAAGTTCAATACTACATGAAGATGAATATGAAAAATAAGCTATAGATAGTATAAAGATCTTATCTATTCCATTATTATAATCAAGTATTTCAATAAGACAATAAGGAGAACCCTTCCACTTATTATAGCCATAACAAGACAAGATTTGAAACAATACAGGTTACAAACAGGTAAACATAAGTGGTATGATCTTTCTACACAGAACTGATTATCTGGCTATAACATAAAAGAAGGACTTGTTCACTTAGAGAATAATAGGACATGCCCAAATAAAGACAAGATTCAGTCCAGTGTGATGCTGAAGATATAAGACAAGTCTCCAGACAATACAGGCAA